GTACAAGCATATGACCGAGTTCCACATGGTATGCTTGGGGATGAAGCCACAAGGCACGGCGGTGGAGAATCTCAAGCTGAAGGCATTCCCATTCTCCCTAGTTGACGCAGCTAGGGAGTGGCTTTTCTACTTACCGCCGGGATCCATCACTACTTGGGCACAAATGGCGAGAGCATTCCTCGACAAGTATTTTCCCGCATCCAAAGCCGTCGGGCTTAGAAGAGAGATCTGTGGGATCAAGCAGAAGGACATGGAATCTTTATACGAGTATTGGGAGCACTTCAAGCGCCTTTGTGTAAGTTGTCCTCAACATGGTATTTCTGATGAATTACTAATTCAATATTCTTATGAAGGTTTGCTACCAATGGAAAGAAAGATGATGGATGCTGCAAGTGGAGGAACAAGACGCCAACTCAAGCGAGGACTTTGATAGACACCATGGCGGAAAACTCCAAGCAATTTGGAGTTCGGAGTGACATTGGCCGAGGCGCTAGTGAGGTACATGTTAAATCTTTAGAGACTAAAATAACTGATTTGACTAATCTTGTGAAACAGCTTGCCATGGGTAATATGCCTCAAGTCAAGGCATGCAGATTTTGCTCATCAGTGGCACAACCTACCGATGCATGCCCGACTTTACATGAAGAAGAAGAGCAAGTGAACGCCATTGGGGGTGGCAACTTTCAGAACTCAAACAACCGGGCTCCCGACCATTTCTCGAGCACATACAACCCCGGTTGGAGGAAACATCCAAATCTAAGCTATGCCCCGAGGTAAGGACAAGGACAAGGTCAACAATCTCAGCAAAGAGGCTTATTCTATCAACCACAATAGTTTCAATCTCAACAATTCCAAGCACCGCCCAGATTTCAGCAACATCAACCGAAGGCACCATTTCAGCCGAATGCCCAACATCAACATCAAGTGTCACCTCAAGTTCCTAGTGGCTCAGGTACGTCTTTAGAGGATTTAGTTAAGTCTATGGCTACTAACATGGTGAAATTTCAACAGGAAACTCAAGCGAGCATTCAGGACCTTCAGGCCACTGTTGGCCAATTTTGTAAACAAGGGTAAGTTGCCATCTCAAACGGAGACGAATCCGAAGGCAAATGTGAGTGCTGTCACTTTGAGAAGCGGAAAGGAGCTTCAAGAGGTTGGAAATAAGAAGAAGGAAAAGGTTCATGAGGAAGAAGAAGAGTTAGAGGTCAAGACATCCACTTCGGGTGCAAAGGATGTCAAAGAAGAGGAGTTAAAGAAGAAGACACCCGAAGTGATAGTTCAAGCACCGCCATTCCCGAGCTGATTCGAGAAGACAAAGTGGGAGAGTGAAGAGAAGGAGATCCTTGACACATTTCGGAGAGTTCAGGTAAACATCCCTTTATTAGATGCAATTAATCAAGTACCTAGATATGCTAAGTTTTTGAAAGAACTTTGTACTAATAAAAAGAAACTAAAGGGTAATGAAAAGATAAGCATGAGTCAAAATGTGTCCGCTGTTTTGCAAAAACAGTTACCACCAAAATGTAAAGACCCGGGCATGTTTACCATACCATGTAAGGTAGGCAATGTCTCGGTAAATCAAGCCATGTTGGACTTGGGGGCATCAATTAATGTTATGCTGTATGCCATTTACTCATCTTTGGATGTAGGGCCCCTAAAGCCAACCGGTGTGGTAATCCAATTAGCGGATAGGTCTATTGTCTACCCTAAAGGGGTATTAGAGGATGTGCTAGTTCAAGTAGATGAATTGGTCTTTCCGGTAGATTTTTATGTAATAGATATGGAGGAGAAAAATGCCTCCAAGGCCGGTATGCTTTTGCTAGGTAGACCATTTTTAAAAACCTCTAAGACGAAGATAGATGTCCATAGTGGTAGTTTGACCATGGAATTCGATGGCGAGATGATTAAATTTAATATATATGATGCCATGCGATATCCGAGTGATGTTTCGTCTATATGCTTTGTTGATATTATCGAGTCTTTATCTGTTACTATGTTTGATCTATCTAATGAGGATGYGTTAGAAGTGATTCTAGATAGGGACTTAACAAATGGAAGTTTGAAGAAGCTTGCCCAAGAGTACAAGCTTGATGATGATTATGCAGAATTGGTATCGTGGATGGAGAAAGGGCGAGCACAAAAGCCAAGGTATGAAGTTTCTAAARTAGATTTGCCTATATCTCACACTAGACTTTTKCCTTMTGTTGAWCAGGCACCCGAGCTAGAATTGAAGACGCTTCCACATCATCTGAAGTACGCCTACTTGGGAGATAAAGAGACCCTTCCGGTGATCATATCCGCCACACTATCACCAAAGGAAGAAAGAGAGCTTGTGGATGTTTTGAAGGAGCACAAGAGGGTGATTGGATGGACCATCGCCGACATCAAGGGCCTTAGTCCCTCACTTTGCCAGCACAAGATTCTACTACAGGAAGAGTACAAGCCATTCAGAGAGGCGCAAAGGAGGTTGAACCCACCGATGATGGAAGTTGTTAAGAAGGAGATACTCAAGCTTTTGGACGCCAATATGATCTACCCAATCTCTGACAGCAAGTGCGTAAGCCCGGTCCAGGTAGTTCCTAAGAAAACTGACATTACTGTGGTAGAGAATGCCGAAGGTAAGTTAGTGCCCACCCGTGTTCAAAACGGGTGGAGAGTATGTATTGATTATCGTAAGCTTAATTCATCAACTAGGAAAGACCATTTTCCCCTTCCATTCATAGACCAAATGTTAGAAAGGTTAGCCGGTCGTACTCACTATTGTTTTTTGGATGGTTATTCAGGTTTTCATCAGATACCGGTTGCAAGAGAGGACCAAGAGAAGACCACATTTACCTGCCCCTTCGGTACATTCGCCTACCGGAGGATGCCTTTCGGTCTTTGTAATGCACCGGCGACATTCCAACGGTGTATGGTGAGTATATTTTCAGAATATGTAGAAAATATTATTGAGGTTTTTATGGACGATTTCATAGTTTATGGTGATTCGTTTAGTTCATGCTTAGATAACTTGACCAAAATTTTAAAGAGGTGCATTGAAACTAATTTGGTTTTAAATTATGAAAAATGTCACTTCATGGTCAACCAAGGTATTGTACTTGGTCATGTTATCTCGGAAAGGGGTATAGAGGTTGACAAGGCAAAAATCGACGTCATAAAATCCTTACCTTACCCCTCGAGTGTTAGAGAGGTCCGTTCTTTTCTTGGTCATGCAGGTTTCTACCGGCGTTTTATTAAAGACTTCTCCAAGATCACTCGACCCCTTTGTGAACTACTACAAAAAGAGGTAGACTTTGTCTTCAATGAGGTATGTAAGAGTTCATTTGACTTATTGAAAGATATGCTTACTTCTGCCCCTATCATCCGACCTCCAAACTGGCAATTGCCATTTGAGATTATGTGTGATGCTAGCAATCACGCCGTCGGAGCGGTATTGGGACAGAAAGACGGTAAGAGCTCTTATGTTATCTATTATGYATCACGATCACTTGATAGTGCACAATGCAACTACTCGACCATCGAGAAAGAGTTGCTAGCAGTTGTTTTTGCTTTAGAAAAGTTTAGATCTTATCTGCTTGGCACTAAAGTGATTGTCTTTTCAGATCATGCCGCATTGAAGTACTTGCTCAAGAAGAAAGACGCAAAGCCGAGRTTGATACGGTGGATTCTCTTGCTCCAAGAGTTTGATTTGGAGATTAGAGATAAGAGCGGAGCTGAAAATATTGTTGCTGACCACCTTAGCCGGCTAGTGTTGGATGGAGAGCCAAGCCCACTCATTGATGAGTTTCCAGATGAGCACCTTTTCTCCGTTTCGGGCGAAACCCCCTGGTATGCAGATATTGTTAATTATTTAGTTTCAAAGAGCTTTCCGGGTGAGTTATCTAGACCCGATAGAGAAAAGATTAGGATAGAGGCTCGTTTCTACATATGGGACGAGCCGTACCTTTGGAAACATTGTCCGGACCAAGTTATCCGGCGATGTGTGCCCCAAGGGGAGTTTCAGTCTGTTTTACAGTTTTGTCACTCCCATGCTTGTGGGGGCCACTTCGGCCATAAGCGAACATACCGGAAGGTACTTGAGTGTGGGTTGTATTGGCCRACCCTTATGCGAGATTGTTATCGCTTTTGCAAGAGTTGCATGAGATGCCAAATGACGGGAAATATTAGTTCCCGAAATCAAATGCCCCAATTTCCTATGCTAGTATGTGAGATTTTTGATGTTTGGGGTATGGATTTTATGGGACCCTTTCCCGCATCTTGTGGTAATCTCTATATCATTTTGGCCGTTGACTATGTCTCAAAATGGGTTGAGGCAAAGGCCACTCGAACTGATGATTCTCGTGTAGTTGCAGATTTTGTCAAATCTCACATATTTGCCAGGTTCGGGACGCCCAAGGCCATCATCAGCGATCGAGGCACCCACTTTTGCAACAAGGTCATCGGCGCACTTTTCAAAAAGTATGGGGTTATCCACCGCATCTCCACCGCCTACCATTCACAGTCAAACGGACAAGCCGAGGTATCAAATAGAGAGATCAAGTCYATTTTGGAGAAGACTATGAACCCCAACCGGAAAGATTGGAGCTTAAGGCTTACTGACGCTTTGTGGGCCTATCGTTCGGCCTACAAGACGCCTATAGGTATGTCTCCTTTCCGGTTGGTGTACGGTAAACCTTGCCACCTCCTGGTGGAACTAGAGCATAAGGCGTATTGGGCGGTGAAGACATGCAATATGGATTTGAATGAAGCGGGATCGCATAGGAAGCTTCAGATTCAAGAGTTAGAGGAGATACAGAACGATACCTACGAAAATGCTCGCATCTATAAGGTGAAGACCAAGACGTTCCATGACTCTCGTATATCACGTAAGTCTTTCACCAAAGGTCAGAAAGTTCTCCTCTATCACTCTAGATTACAGTTATTTCCTGGTAAGTTAAGGTCCAGATGGATAGGACCTTTTGTTGTTTTAACTGTTTTTGAGCATGGTGCAGTGGAGATACAAAGTGTGTCTACGGGGCAGATTTTCAAAGTTAACGGCCATAGGCTAAAGCCGTTCTATGAAGGCTTCGATGGAAGGGATTTAGAGAGGGTAGCTTTGGACACGCCAAGCTACGAGAATTGAATTGAGTATGGTCTAGCCAAAGACATAAAAGAAAGGCGCTGCGTGGGAGGCAACCCACGAATTTCCATTTCTTTTTATTTATTGCTTTCAGTTATTTAGTTTACTTTTAGATTCTTAATTTCAATCTTAGATTTCTGTATTCTCAGTTTCACCCCGGATGTTGGATGCTTGAAGAGACGCACCCATCTCCACGGATTCTTACATTAGGAGGTCACTCATCAAATCAGGGGAGTTTTCTGTTCCCTTTTCCTTAATTGCTTAGAGTGTCCTCTACTTATTGCATACCTTAAGGACAATGTATGAATTAAGTGTGGGGGTGGGGGTTATTTGCATGAATTGGGTATATAAATGGTTTTAGGGGTCAATTTTTTTGCTTTTTGCAAATTTTGTGCTTAAATGAGGATCTTTGTCCGTTTTGACAATGTGTTAGCATGCTTTTAATGAGCTTAAATTGTTGATGACAATGAGTTTGGATGCGTGTATAGCATGATTGAGCTTGATTGATAGCACTTAGAGTGATTAGTGGTAGCATATCGGTCAAAGTAGACTATTGTTAATCTCTTGA